GAGATTATTTAAAAATACAATCTTTAAAAAAAGCTACTATAAGGGAACTCATCTAAGTAGGGGTAATAAATGCAGAGTACTACGGTAAAATGCCTAAAGGCTTTAATGGTCTCTTACAACTTACTTACTCTTTTATGCTGTGCTTATTCCCCTGCTGTTATCAGAACGCGGGAAAGCAATGTCACTATGGAATCGCCCTGAAAACAGGAAGGAAGTACTCTGGACTGATTAAGACCAGCATGACATTCACAGTGGCCAATCTCATTCCAGTTGAGTTAAAGTAATCATTGTCCAATATTTGTTCCCTGTCAGCTCAAGTCAGGAGCGAAAGAAAAGTGAGAAAGTGTACACACACACACACACACACACAGAAAAAAAGGCTAACTTATTACAAACTGCTTGTCACATACCAAATATTTGTAACATTTCAAATAATATATAACTACAGAGCTTCAATAAGTTGGTATTTACAAGGTAAAATAATTTCAAAACTTACCAGCACCCCAGCCCCAAATTTACCAGCCCATATTGAAACTTCACTGTTCCTAATCTTCTCCTACCCTACCCTCCACTGAGAACAAAATCATCTTGCTATGAAATGCTAAGAGAAAAAAAAATATTCTGATGGCTTCCTAATTTTATATATATATATATATATATATATATATATATAGTATTTGTCTTATTATGTGTCTTTGTTCAAGCACATAAATGCCAAGTTAATCACTTAAAAATGGGTTATATAATTCTATATTGTCTACCCGTATTTTCCAGTCTAAACTTACCTTTATAGCCTCCTTTTAAAAAAGTTGTTTTGAGTAGAGTTGACACAAAATGTTACATTAGTCTCAGGTGTATAACACAATGATTCAACTTCTCTATACCTTATGCCATGCTGTAGTCTCCTTCTTAAATAATCAATTTTATCAATTCTCATTCCTGGTTCCACACAAGTACTTGGGATTCTAATACTTATATATCTGTGTATATATATTTCACTATATTCTAACACATAAGACCCAGCTTGAGGGGCACCTGGGTGGCTCAGCTGGTTAAGTGTCCGACTCTTGATCTCAGCTCAGGTCTTGATCTCAGGGCTGTGAGTTCAAGCCTCATGTTAGGCTCCACATACTTAAAAAAAAAGAGAGAGAAAAAAAGATCTAGAGAGGGGTTCACTTGCCCAAGTCTACACAGATTGAGGAACCCACAATCACACCCAGGTTCATCTGTTTTAAGAACCAAAGATATTAACCACTGTTCTATTTCATTCCATATGCTTTTATTCCTCTCTTCATTACATGATTGGGAAAACACAGCATGGACGGACATCCATATGCACAAAAATGAAGAGCTGCAGGCAGAGGGAGAGGGAGAAGCAGACTCACCACCGAGCAGGGAGCCCGATGCAGGGCTCGATCCCAGGACCCTGGGATCATGACCTGAGCCGAAGGCAGACGCTTAACCGGCTGAGCCACCCAGGCACCCCCTGGGTATTTACTTTAAAGAAGGGAAGGGGCGCCTGGGTGGCTCAGTTGGTTAAGCGACTGCCTTTGGCTCAGGTCATGATCCCAGGGTCCTGGGATCGAGTCCCACATCGGGCTCCCTGCTCGGCAGGGAGTCTGCTTCTCCCTCTGACCCTCCCCCCTCTCATGTGCTCTCTCTCTCTCTCATTCTCTCTCTCAAATAAATAAATAAAATCTTTAAAAAAAAAAAAAGGGAAAATTATGTTCACATAAAAACCTATACATAAATGTTTACAGCAATTCCATTCATAATTGCCCCAAACTGGAAACAACCCAAATGTCCTCCACTGGGTGGATGCCCAAGCAAATTGAGGTGCATCCAAACAGTGATACTACTCAGAAACAAAAAGGAACACACTACTGATATATACAACAGCTTGGCTGAATCTCCTAGGCATGATACTGAATGAAAGAAGCCAGTTTCAAAAGATTACATACTACACGATTCCATTTATAGGGCATTCTCAGAAAGACCAAACTGTAGTGACCGAAGGAGATCAGTGATTGCCAGGGTTTGGGGTAGGGAAGAGGTTACTATAAAGGGACAGTATGAGGGAGTTTTGTGGGGTAGTCAAACTGTTCTGTATCCTGACAGTAACAGTTGGTTACAAAAATCTATACACATCCCATGTGGCACCTGGCTGGCTCAGTTGGTATAGCATGCAACTCTTGATCTCAAGGTTATGAGTTCGAGCCCCACATTGGGTGATCACTTAAAAATAAAACATTAAAAGAAAAATCTAAACACATCCCCAAAAAGTCCATTTTAGTGCATGATAATTTTTAAGGTAAAATAAAAGATTCTTTAATTCTTCTGCAGATAACTGGTTAATTAAATAGGGGCTAAAAAAGTTACAACCTTACCTCTTATTATATATCAAAATACATTCCAAAGAAACTAAAAAGTTAAATGTAAATTATGAATACTGATCTTCTTAATATACATGAAGCTCTTACAAATAAATAAAAAAATGAACACTTTCAGAGAAAAATGCACCAAGACATGAAGAAACAAGAATTAAATATATGAAAAAGTCTTAATCTCACCAATAATCAAATAAATGAACAATCAAGCAATGAGCTAATATTTTTTGTCAACTGCATTACAAAAACACAAAACCTTAAAAGAATGATAACACCAATACTGGCAAGGGTGGGAAAAGGAACCGAAAGAAAACTACAGTTTGACATGTTAAGTGTTATTACACTTCCTGAAGGTAATTTGGAATATATGTCAAAACCCTCAACTCACACACACAGTCTTTTTCCATTTTCAGGAATTTACTAAGAAACTAATTAGACTAGTACAGAAAAATGTATGCAGAAGAAGAGTCATAACATCATTATTTATAATAATGAAAACAAATAATTTAAAAAGATAAAATAAATTATCATCCTATGACGTGGGAAACAAAGACAAAAGAAAAACTAAATTTCCTTACTACTTACAGCCCATTGACAAATCCTTCAAACAGGCAGAGTGACATTCCTTTAGGAACTCAGCTACCTTGATTTGATACTTCGCTAAGGGCAAGAGGCAATCTTAGCTTAACATTATCCCAACCCCCCAGGGTCCTGTAAATCTCCTTTAACACATAAAATTCCTTTAGAAACTTCCTTTATCTCTATCCCCCAAGATATATGTTAGCAATCAAACCCCAAGCATACAGCCCACCAATGTACTTCCAAAGGGTCTCATGACTAGGGTTTTTACTAGACAGTAATAAATGGCCTTTTCCTAATAACAGCTCGCCTTTGAGGTCCTGGAAACCTTGCTCCCAAAATTTCTTAGAGACTTACGCTATCCCTAACCCTCTCCCAACTTTTAAAGTATATAATCAGCCACTCCTCATGACCCCGGTACAGCTCTTTCTGCCCACGGTTCCTGTCCCCATGCTGTAATAAAGCCACCCTTTTGCACCTAAGATGTCTCAAGAGTACTTTCTTGGGGGGCGCCTGGGTGGCTCAGCTGGTTAAGTGACTGCCTTCGGCTCAGGTCATGATCCTGGAGTCCCCGGGATCAAGTCCCGAAGCGGGCTCCCTGCTCAGCAGGGAGTGTGCTTCTCCCTCTGACCCTCCTCCTTCTCATGCACTCTGTCTCTCATTCTCTCTCTCAAATCAATAAATATCTTTAAAAAAAAAAAAGAATACTTTCTTGGCTGTTGGCTCCAAACCCTACCACTTCAAACCACATCCTTATATATCCATATAATAGAATATTAAGCAGTCATTAAAAATCAAGTTAACTGAACTGTTAATTGAAATAAGATTATGTTATTTTAGTCATGACTGCTTTAACTTCTTTCCAGTCTCCAAAGCAAAAGGAAAGATTTTTGTTCAATGACAAAACAATGATCATGGTATAATGCAAAATTTCAAAGAAAGCAGGATATAAAAGCATATACGAGCCAAATTCTATTTTTTTAAACATCTGTGCATGTGCCACAATATTATCTCTCAGTGGTGAGATTATGGGTGAGTTTTTATTCATCTTTTCTTTATTTTCTAAACTTTCTATAAAAAACATATATTAAAAGAAGAAAAAACAAAAAACATATATTATGTTCATAATTTTTTTAAAATCAGTGTTTCTTTAAATCGCCCAAAATTACATCCAAAAGGAGTTTTCAAACTTGTTTTCTAAGGGGTGTCTGGGTTGCTAAGTTGGTTAGGCATCTGACTTCAGCTTAGGATACGATCTCAGGCTCCTGGGATCCAGCCCCACATCGGGCTCCCTGCTCAACAGAGTCTGCTTCTCCCTCTCCCTCTGCCCCTACCCCTGCTCATGTTCTCTCTCTCTCACATAAATAAATCTTTAAAAAAACAAACAAAAAAAACTTGTTTTCTAATCTAGATTATCTGCTGTTATCCTGGTCACAAGCATTTCACTGTTACATAAGAATGACAATTCCATGTGCAAATTTCTTCTAGTTACTAATCCCAAATAAGCCATTACCATCCAGGGCAGAAGATCTACAGATAATGGCATCTCATTAACACTGCCACCCACAAGGTGCAGAATAGTATGTGTATCAGGATAATACTTGTATGTCTTAAAATTTTTAAAGAATATTTCAGTAATAGGGCGCCTGGGTGGCTCAGTTGGTTAAGCGACTGCCTTCGGCTCAGGTCATGATCCTGGAGTCCCGGGATCGAGTCCCGCGTCAGGCTCCCTGCTCAGTGGGGAGTCTGCTTCTCCCTCTGACCCTCCCCCCTTTCGTGTGCACTCTCTCTCTCAAATAAATAAATAAAATCTTTAAAAAAAAAAAAAGAATATTTCAGTAACATATAGAGGCTTATGTGCCAATATGTCTATACTTCTTTTTTCCGTTCAGAAGCATAAGAAAGCATCAGAAATGGTTACCTTTTTTGGTGGGAGAAGAAATGTATATCTTTCTACTGTTTGAATTATGAACCACCATTTTTGTACTTTTTCTTTACTTTTTAACTTTTTGTTTTGTTTTGTTTGCTGCTTACCATGGAGCACTTCTCCAGTACTTCCTCCTGGAACTTCAGGAATCGCTCCTGAACCTCAACTTCATTGAGGAAAAAGGCAAGGAAGTGAGTGAAGGGTTGCTTTCTTCTAAAAGTGAGCAAAAGAACATCAATCCGAGTTCGAGCTGAAATTACACCACTTCGATGCTGGCCAGTGATTACTGCAAGCAAAAAAAAAAAAAAAAGGGGGAGGGATGTTTAACACAAACATGCAGTGCTTGTAAGGTAAGTGGCCTTAATACTATCATCTCTGCAGACCTCAAACAATCCTGAATGAGTACATAATGTCTGAACAAGGGACAGTACCAACGGTAAGAAAATTACTAATGAATTCAATCTAAGCAGAATGAGGTTTAAAAACAGAATATCCTTGGGCTGCCTGGGTGGCTTAGTCAGTTAATCGTCCAACCCTAGATTTCCATTCAGATCTCAGGATTGTGAGATCGAGGCCCCCCCCCCCCCCCCGTCGGGCTCGTGCTGGGCATGGAGGCTGCTTAAGAATCTCTCTCCCTCTCCCTCTGCTGCTCCCCCTGCTTGTGCGTGTGCTCTCTCTCCCTCTCTCTGTCAAATAAACAAATCAATCAATCTTAAAAAAAAAAAAAAAGACCACTTCATGAAGTAGAAAAATGAGTTAAAAAAAGCTATACAGCTTCATAGCAAACCCTCATACCTTGCAGGTGGGAACGTAAAATGGTGCAGCAGCTATGGAAAAGTATGGCTGTTCCTTAAAAATTTACAAAGAGAACTACCATATGTAAAAAGTTACAACGAGAACTACCATCTGACCAGCAATTCCACTCCTAGATAGAAATCCAAAAGAAGTAAAAGCAGGGTGCCTGGGTGGCTCAGTCATTAAGCGTCTGCCTTTGGCTCAGGTCATGATCCCAGGGTCCTGGGATTGAGCCCTGCATCAGGCTCCCTGCTTGGCGGGGAGCCTGCTTCTCCCTCTCCCACTCCCCCTGTTTGTGTTCCTCTCTCGCTCTCTCTCTTTCTGTCAAATAAACAAATACAATCTTTAAAAATAGTAATATGAAATATAAGAAAAAATCCTGAAAAAATTTTTTTAAAAAACAAAAACCCAAGTGTCCAAAAAAAACTCGTACACAAAGGTTCAGAGCAGCTCTAGTCACAATACCAAAAGGTGGAAACAACGCAGGTGTCCAACTGATAAATGGATAAACAAAACGTCCTATCTCCATACAATGGAATATTATTCAACCCCCCCAAAAAGAGAATGAAGTACAGATAATGCAAAAATATCAATGAATCTTGAAAACATCACACTAAGTGGAAGACACCAGATAGAAAATGCCACTATATGCTTCCATTTACAGAAAGTAGCCAGAACAGGCAAATGCAGAGGGACAGAAAGCAGATTAGTGGTAGCCAAGGACTGGAGGTACGGAGGAATGGGAAGTGACTGCTTAATAGGTATGAGGTATCCTCCCTTTTGGGAGGATAAAAACGTTCTGAAACTAGATAGTGGTGATGGTTACACAACACTGTAAATGTACTAAATGCCACTCAATTCAACACTTTAAAATGGCCCAAATGGGAGGTCCCAGGCTGGCTCAGTCGGTAGAGCATGTGACTCTTGATCTGGAGGTCATGAGTTTGAGCCTCACATTAGGTGTAGAGCTCACATAAAGTAAAAATTGTCAAAATGGTAAACTTTATGTTGTGTATATATTAACCACACACAAAAAAAGTATGAACACTACATCACATAGAAATTCAAGTAACAATAAAAAGTTAAGAGCAATAAATGGAACTTTCTGTCATGTCAATTTTACCTCAATTTAGAAGAAGACTGTGGCAGGGCACCTGGGTGGCTCAGTCGTTAGGCGTCTGCCTTCAGCTCAGGTCATACTCCCTGCTCTGCCAGAAGCCTGCTTCTCCCCCTCCCACTCCCCCTGCTTGTGTTCCTGCTCTCGCTATCTCTGTCAAATAAATAAATAAACTCTTCAAAAAAAAGAAGACTACTGTGGCAGCATTAGAGATTGACTACAGTGAAAAAGCAAAGGCGAATCTACTACAATATATATAATCCTATCATGTATGTATGAAAACAGAAAATTAAAGTAAAATGCTTATCTATACATTATATGGATGGATACCAAATGTCCATGTTTTGGCATTAATTTGGCCTCCTCTGATCTGGGCTATGCCTTTATGTATAAATGAAAGGGGGGACGGCACAAAGCATAGCCCACTGTCTGCAAAGAAACAAAATCATTTAGGGATTACACAACCTCAGTGTAAGCAGAGATTAAATCTCTAGGTCGTAGAACGGACAGGGCTCGGTTCAAAACAGCAACTAAGGAAAGGTGCAAAAGATATGAACAATGAACAAAACTGGCATTTCAACAGACTATTAAAACTGTGAAAGACAGACTTATGAATATGATATAAAATACTGAAGTATTAACTGTAATAGTAGCAAAATTGGCTCTGTGCTTTAAAGACCACAAAGTTTGTCCTTCCATGCAACTACAGAGATTAAATAATTCTATTTATTTATCCTAATACTCTCCATTAAAGCACGTGAAATTTTCTGTAAGAATAACCTTTCTATTCCTCAGTAAGAATGAAAGTATCATACCCATTTTACTACAAGGAAACAAGATAGACATTTCTAGGAAAAGAAGTAGATTCTGAATGAATGGATTAACAGAAAGCCTGAGAACCATTTGCCTAAGTTAAAAATTGATAAAAGTGATAGCCAAAAAATGTAAGTGGACATATGGTGTTCTGTAATGGCATCATTTATATTATCAGACAGAATACTCAGAGAATCCAAAGGACTCAATGCTCAGAGAAGGGAAGTATCGGTAACAGGTACTCAAATACTGTGCTAGAGAAATGCTGATAAAGGAGGGTTTGAAGGCAAACTGGGACAAAATTAAAGGAAAGTAAAAATTATCTCTGCCAAAGAACAAAAATTTGGTGAAAAACTAAATGGAAAAGGAGCAGAAGGGAAGGAAGCTTAAAACTCATGTTTGGGGCAGTCGTTAGGCATCTGCCTTCGGCCCAGGTCATGATCCCAGGGTCCTGGGATCGAGCCTCACATCGGGCTCCCTGCTCGGCAGGAACCCTGCTTCTCCCTCTCCCACTCCCCCTGCTTGTGTTCCCTCTCTCGCTGTCTCTCTCTCTCTGTCAATTAAATAAATAAAATCTTAAAAAAAAAACAAAACTCATGTTTATGTTTTATTTCTGTAAAAGTCTTGTACAAAATGCTTAATCTATTCTTTTTCATTAAGATGGTGGTTTCATCTTTGTAACACAGTGAACTGAAAAGGGCACCCACTGAAAGGTGCTCAGCCTGATTTCCAGAAAAGATTCAAAGTAATCAATTAATGACTAAAAAGCAAATACAATGTTAGAAATATTCTACAAACACTAATATCTGAGAAGACCAGAATTTGCATGGCAAGGGTCTAGGGACTGTAACAAGGGACAGATAGGAAAAAGAGAATTAAAGGCACTGACATTAAACTTTTAAAACCCAATTCTCGGGCGCCCGGGGGGCTCAGATGGTTAAGCGTCTGCCTTCAGCTCAGGTCATGGTCCCAGGGTCCTGGGATCGAGTCTCGCATTGGGCTCCCTACTCCTTGGGAGCCTGCTTCTCCCTCTGCCTCTCTCTCTCTCTCTCTGTCTCTCATGAATAAATAAATAAAAATCTTTTAAAAAATAAATAAATAAAAACCAATTCTCTAACTATAATAACAATATCATTTTGAAAGCATCTTCCAAAATCCCATTACCTGAGTCTTCAAAACAGACTAGATGACCAGATCCTTGTTGAGAGGACAAATTAAAACCTACTACATCATTTCCTTCTTTAGTAGCTCTAATTTGGGAGAAGCAAAAGAAAATGAATAAATGACAGCAAATACCACAACCTGTCTTAGTCTCACATTACAACTCAATTCACTCTAACCAATAAATTTGATTTTGCTGTACTTTACTTCCCTATAAGACCAATAGGCCCATTTATCGTCTTGTTTTTCAATTAAATTAGTTCCACTGAATTCTTTTAACGATTTGACACACTGGGTTTCACACTGAAATATTTGTACTTTCTAAGTCAAAATGGAATCTTTACAACCCACCTACCCTTTTCTGGATATGTTTTGGAATGACTCCAGCATCTTAAAAATGGCCAAGATCTCCACATTTATAGCATGTTACAATTTTTACTGCAATAAAAATTATTATAGGGACACCTGGTTATAAGCCTGGGTGGCTCAGTTGTTGGGCGTCTGCCTTCGGCTCAGGTCGTGATCCCGGGGTCCTGGGATCAAGCCCCGCATCGGGCTCCCTGCTCCGCAGGAAGCCTGCTTCTCCCTCTCCCACTCGCCCCTGCTTGTGTTCCCTCTCTTGGTCAAATAAATAAAATCTTTTTAAAAAAATTTAAAAATAAATAAAAAATTATTGGGGCGCCTGAGTGGCTCAGTCGTTAAGCATCTGCCTTCGGCTCAGGTCATGATCCCAGGGTCCTGGGATCGAGCCCTGCATCGGGCTCCATGCTCCGCGGGAAGCCTGCTTCTCCCTCTCCCACTCCCTCTGCTTGTGTTCCCTCTTTCGCTGTGTCTCTGTCAAATAAATAAATAAAATCTTTAATAAAATAAAATAAAAATTATTATAGTTACTATATGGATAGAAAAAATGAGGAAGATATTCAACTGTTAATAGTGATTATGTCTACAGTTCATATTACAAGACTTCCCTTTATACCTCACATATAATTTCTGTAAGCTTTTGTGTTTTTTTGAAAGCATCTATTAATTTATAATCAGGAAAAAACTAGATAATGAAATAAACTTTACTGCAATTATAAAATTACTTCAATATTTGTAGCTTGAACTTTTTTTTTTTAAGATTTTATTTATTTATTTGAGAGAGAGACAGAGACAGAGAGCAGAAGGAGAGGGAGAAGCAGACTCTCCACTGAGCCAGAAGCCCAACATGGGGCTCAATCCCAGGACCCTGAGATCATGACCTGAGCCAAAGGCAGACGCTTCACTGACTGAGGCACCCAGGTATCCTGTAGCTTGAACTTTAAAACTTAAGGAAAGACCTGGGCTTTTCTATCTGTAATTCTAAAGAGCTGAATATTTTATTGAAATTCCTTAAAAAATGTCATTAAAGTTCTCATATTAGTGTCTGCTGATGCTACCAAAGGGCTGGGGAAAACTCTAGCATTTGCTGCCCAACACAGGAGTCCACATGCAACCAGTTAAATGAATTAGAAAGAAATGGAATTAAAAGTTCAGTTCCCCAGTCACACTAGCCACATTTCCAGTACTCACGATCACACGTGCTAGTGACTCCCGCACTGGACAGTGGAAGTAGAGAACATTCCCATCATCACAGGAAGTCCTTTTGGGCAGTACTGCTCTACACTCACCTGCATTGTATCTGTCGTGATGATTGTTCTTACAGAGCACAAAATGAGAAGAACACTAGTAATTTTTTTCCCCTAAAACTTAATAAAACCTATGGGTGTTTATAAAAAATGTATTATTGGAGGCTGCTGCACTTACTTGACTTTGAAAAAGTCCTACAGTTTTAGAATGAGTTGCCTTTTTTGTTGTTGTTGTTAAATTTTGTCCCTACAGTGCCCTTCACTCAAAGCCATTTTACAACACAAGCCTGTGCCCTGGGTTCACAATGATGCTTGGTACAGACCCTTTCTGACTTGATTTATACTGCACTATTTTTTCCTCACTTGAGCAGTTACTTGATTCAGGTTGTTATTTTAATTGATACTTTTATAATATCCTTCCCAGTCTACAAAGCAAGGTAAAAACAAGAGAACCCTTCTGGAAAGGGCTGAACTTTATTGCAAATTTGCTGCTGGTTTTCTCTAATTCTAGCTTGAAACAATTCACAAACTCCATTTCAAGCTAGTAAAGCATGAAATTATTCTCCTAATACACAACAAAATCTGGAAGCTTTATAACATCAGTACACAGTAAAGTAAAAAAGTGAAGGCCCAGATACTCAAACAAGACAAGGTTGTATAACTACATCTTTCTTCATTTGGGAGACTGATACTGATATATCATAAAAAGGCCAACTGCTACAGAACCCCACAAAGAATACAGTCACTATTCAATCCCACCCAGGGACACTAAAAAAAAAAAAAAAAAAAGACTACAGTCACTAAATACCTCCACTGGGTCACACTATTCCATACTCATGCAAAAGTGATTGCAAATATAACTTATATATACCAAGTCTCACCAATTTCTCCTTCTTGTCCAGGCTTAGGAATGCTAATAGAGGTTTTGGTTTCCACTTCTAGTTTCTTCCTAGTGTCCCCTCTTTTGCCAACTATGTGCCTATAATATAAAGAAAAATTAATTAATGGAAGGACATTAAGTCAAATGTACCAGAATAAAAAATTCCATCATGTTTAAATCATATGTGGCCACAGATACTCCCTTATAGAAAAGTGCTTCAGTAAGGCTTAATATTTGTAGAGAAATTACAAGCTGTATAGCTTTATAGAATGTGCTGCATTGCACTCATGGGCAAAATGACGCCCTCCGGTCAATTTAATGAATAAACAGAAATAACCATCCCATGCCCAACACCTGTTTGCTCTTCAATATTAGATTCAAAACATGGGTCTGCAGTTCATTGAAAAGAAAGCTGGCATCGTCTCAAAAGGCACTTCTAGCAACCAGTTTGGAGAAAACGTTGTCCTTTAGAGAGCAAATTAACTATATTAGGAGTTCATTGTAAAAGAATTATCCTTGATTAATAAAATAAGGGTAAAAAGCTTAGCAAAGAGAAGGATCCACCATTTAGGAGAGATTATCCAGAATAGCTTCAAAAGCAAAAAGAGAAGACAGGTAACCCTCAAGCTGAATTCAGCACATACATGTTTTGTTCAGGAGATTTCACCTAAAAATTGGGAAATTTCACCTAAAAATATAGATTTCCAGGTTCTTTGGAAAAATTAGAAGATCTGACAACCCATGGCAATAAGGGACTGGAGCTTACTCTTCATCCCTAAAAATGGAACATGAGCTTATCACAATCCCTATCATTCCCTGAAATATAGATTTCCAGGTTCTTTGGAAAAAATTAGAAGATCTGACAACCCATGGCAATAATGGGCTGGAGCTTACTCTCGTCCCTAAAAATGGAACATGAGCTTATCACAATCCCTATCACTCCCTACTCCGTTTCATCTACTCTGCTTCAACCATCTAGTGACTCCTTTACATTCATTGCCTGGGCCTCCTGGAATAAGTAATTCTGACAATCCAAGGTTATCTTCTGGAACCCACAGTAACAATATGTGTTAAAGTAAATGAGACTACTAGAACCAGGAGAAAAGTTTCAGAGTCTATAAAGCACTAAAGTCTCAAAGACAGGATTATAAAGAGAAAAAACTTCCCCATCAACAGTATTTCAGCTTCTATGATTTCAATTACAGTGCCCAACAATATGGGTGACTAGGTCTAAAACTGCATTTGTTTTTACCTGGAATAACCAGCCCAATTATTTCCATTAAGATCTACTGCAGTAAGCCAGGTTAAAAAAAAAAAAAAAAAAAAAACAGAAAACAAGATGTTTAGAAGAGGAATGAAACGCCACAACCTCCCTGTAGTTTTTCCCTGTGTTGCACTCTGTGCTGGCACCCACTTTGTCAGGCTTTTGTCTTTCCAGGCCTTATCAATAAGGGCTACTTTCACTCAGGCTACTGTTGGTTAGCATATGGCTAATAGAGAAGCCTCTTACAAAAAGCAGCTGGCTTGGAGTGTCCCGCTGGCTCAGTCCGTACAGCATGCAACTCTTGATCTGGGGGTTGTGAACTCAAGCCCCACGTTGGAGTGTACAGATTACTTAAAAATAAGATCTTTAAAAACACACACAAACAAATGTAGCTGGCTCAATGTGTTATTAATAGTCTAGGCATTTTAAAAAGGAAGTGGTTGAGGTTAAAGAAGTTTTAGACTCAAGTCTTGGGCAAGTCTAACCACTAATCTAACCACTCTAAACCTATGTCTTCACTTTCAAAAATGGAGTGAATAATACCTAAGTATAATAAAGTTGTGAGGATTAAAGGTGATCATATATAAAAGGGCTTTCCAGTGACTGGCATGTAGCTCAGTACGGTCCATACCATCCTCATTAAGCCCATAATGGCATCCTTCCAATTTAGAGCATAGCCAGATTCAAAAGAGGTTTACATGGGGAGTCTAAAACATTCCCTACAATAATGAGACACACCGTGAAAAGGTGACTCCTTTATTAAACATATAAGTAGAAATTCCTACCAGATCGAGTAGTTCTCAATCTTGGCTACCCACTTGAATCACCTGGGGGGCTTCAAAGACTAATGATGCCTCAGTCCAGCTCCCAGAGATTCTGATTTAATTGGTCTGGGGTGCATCCAAGCATAGGGAGTTTTAAAAGTTCCCCAGGTGATTCTAATGTGCACCTGATGTCGAGAACTAATGTATAACGTCTAGTACATGGACAGGTATTACAACCATTAGGATTTCATTATAAATTAGTTTGGTCAAGTAATTTCTTCCCTGATCCAAATGAACCTAGGGAAATGATTAATAAGAAAGAAATCTTCCTGGGGCACCTGGGAGGCTCAGTCATTAAGCGTCTGCCTTCGGCTCAGGTCATAATCCCGGGGTCCTGGGATCGAGCCCGACATCCGGCTCCCTGCTCCGCAGGAAGCCTGCTTCTCCCTCTCCCACTCCCCCTGCTTGTGTTCCCTCTCTCGCTGTGTCTCTCTCTGTCAAATAAATAAATAAAATCTTAAAAAAAAAAGAAGGAAATCTTCCTAGAAAATACTGTCTATTACAATTGAACAGAACCAATACCTAATTTAACATGCAAGTCATCTAGAATACAATGAATACTTAAAATATATAGAATTCAGAAGATCAAATTGGAATCAAACATCTAAGGAATTTTTACACAACTTAGTGGTGGCAAATATACACATTAAGGAAAACGGTTACACGGATTTCATCAGGAAACGGAACCATGACTTTCTAAAATCTTGTTTCTTAGAAGAAAATGTCACTGGAACCTTAAAGGAAAATGAGCTGTCAGATTTGGCATTTGGTTTCCCATCTGGCCACATTCCAAGAGAAGAATTTCATCCTTAATAGGTGTTTCAGAATATTTTCAAGATCGGTGAAAATAAAATTATTTGCTTCGTGGAGCTTAAAGGTATATGATTTTATATTTGTAGATCTCCTTTCACAGAGGAGCTTGAACACTTAATTAACCTGGTACAACACAGAAAAACAATTTACACAATTCCTAGACCAGCCTATCTCCAGAGGTGTAAACCTAAAAGAAGCCAGTTAGCCACATAAACTAACTATGTTTGGTTTTTTTTAAAGATTTTATTATTCATTTGAGACAGAGAGATAAAGAAAGAGAGCATGATCGGGGGAGAGGAAGACTTGGGGCCTGATCCCAGGACCTGGAGATCATGACCTGAGTTGAAGGCAGACGGTAAGCTAACCATGTTAGTGGTGAAACAGAATGTGAGCAAGCAAGCAAGCAAGCACCGACTGAAGTGAGCAAAAAGTTTCCAAGCAAATTCATAATGACAACCTTGGAGAAAGCATACCAGTTTTTGACAAACACTGGAGATTAATGGAACACATTCCTGCCTTCCAGAAGTCTCCCATCTTGTGAAGAAGACATCCAATAATATGCAAATAAGTGTAAATACATGGCCGAAAAATTGTACAAAGGAAAGGCAGAGGATATTATGAAAACATATGGTAGTCAGTGTGGTTGGAAGGGATGATGGTGTCAAAGCAAGTTTCCCTAAGAAAGAAGAATATAACTAGGTAAGGAAGAGAGATTATAAGGCAAAGGAAATAGCGTATGCCAAAGCTCTATGGCAGGAAGGAACAAAGCACACTTCAGGAACTGAAGAAAACTAGCTAGGCTTAAGTGCAAAACCAGAAAAAGAGTGGTATGAGTTGTGACTGAAAAATGCAGGGCTGCCTAAGTCACATTCAAGATTCCATCATTCCAATGGAGCAGAATTCCATCTTCAATGGAAAGATGTTGACAGATTGAAGCAGAGGAAATAATCACATTTGCCTTTTAGAAAGATCATTCCACCCTCAATGTGAAGAACTGATTGGGAGGAGAACAATAATCAATGTGGACAGCCTAGTAAGGAGGCTATTTGAAGCAATCCACAGAAGATGCAGCAGGGTGCTGGTCTTTCAGTAAAGAATAAGACCAATGGTAGATTCAAAAGATATTTAAGAGGCAAAATCAACAGGACTTGGTGATACATTTGGAATGGTGAAATTGATCCATAATCAGTCCTTAGAAATTCTAGGACATAAAACACTAAATTGCTTTGTCATTAGTAATCAAGCACTCAGTAAGTATGGAAAAGAGTCAGCTTCCTGCTGAGTTTCCTGGAAGTGTGTCCCATGAAGCTGGGCAGTGGGGAGCCTCACTCACTTGTAGAGCAAACTGGGGGCCTTCACGGTACACCGGAAACCTTGTTGGGTCGGCACCACCTCGTAGGCATCACAGGGCTCCTCTGCACACTCCACAAAGCCTGCAGAGAAACCATAACACCTCCTCACATCTGCTGCTCTGTGGACAACAGTCTTCTCCACATCGGCCAATCACGCTCAAGGTTTAAAAAAATACACACACACTCAGAACAGCCCAACACTTTATATTGCAGAATACTGCTCTGACAGTCCTTCCAACCTGCTCTTAGAAGAAAATTAAAAAACACATAACTAGGGGCGCCTGGGTGGCTCAGTCGTTAGGTGTCTGCCTTCAGCTCAGGTCATGATCCCGGAGTCCTGGGTTTGAGCCCCGCATCGGGCTCCCTGCTCAGCGGGAAGCCTGCTTCTCCCTCTCCTACTCCCCCTGCTTGTGTTCCCTCTCTCGCTGTGTCTCTCTCTCTGTCAAATAAATGAATAAAACCTTAAAAAAAAAAAACAACCTTGGAAAGATAGTATATACATACCACTATTTAACTGTTTTCTCCCAAAACGCTAAGACACAATAAAAATTTTTTTCTATTTTTTTATAAGGATGTAATTCACATAACATCCTCTTACAGTGTGCAAGTATGCAGTTTTTAGTATTAAGACACAAAATTACTTCAATGAATGAGACAGGAATGGTAGCAGGAGAACTTACTCCATTCCACCAGGCAAAGAGACAGGAGGGTCAAGTAAAGAAGGTCAAGTCCCCAAGGATGAAGGGAAACAATGGGGAAAAACAGAAGGAAGACAAACCCCAAGGCTTAGGGCGTGATGGAAGAACTTATAAACCAAAAGGAAAAGGAAGCAGAGAACCTGAAAGGACTTATTTATGCATTAAGCCCAAGCCCAAGTTAATCGGCTTGAAAATATTCATAATCCATCCCCACTGTTTAGCTTACTTCTTAAAATTATCCCTATGTAATAATAAAGTTATGTTAGTTGTATATTTGGAACTGCCTATATGAGTGCAAAGAAAAGACAAATAACATTAACAGTATTAACAGTTAATATCTTGGGGCACTGGACAAAATACATATTTCATTTATTTCAACAATTTATATATATTATTTCACAACTTTACAGATAAATGAACTTAATTTTGTCACAGAATATTCATGGTTAACATTGTTTACTAAAATTACCCCGTGTTACATTTAAGCCTCCGCACAAAGATGAAACATGATTTAGGAAGTGCAAATGAGAATGCCTCGTCAAAATGAAAATCACCAGTCCCCTTAGACATCAACACAAATGGAGCTAGAGGCCAAACATCTCAAATTTCAGTGCTCACACAGAAACACTATGAAACAAAACAAAGCAATGCTTCTATAATGCGAGAGAACATTGTACTGGTATCTGACCAAAGAGCAACTAGGATTACCTTGATAGAAGTCTTCATCATCTTCTTCATGTTGATAAGTCTGTTCTTGGATGGGATTTTTTCTGTAAATCCGTCCACCAATTCTTACAAGCTGTGGGCGCAGAACTTCCATGATACTTTCTCCAAACAATATTCTAGTGAAATCCTGAAAAATAAATGATCACCTTACCTTGTTTTAATCAGAAATGAAAACCGTATCTCTATTTTATGCATCATTATGTAATCGGGACATCAGTTCACAGCACATCCTAAACAAAAGCAGCACTGTTTCCATTGGATTTCCCTATCTGCAAGCTGTTTTAAGTCAACTGCTCTATCTTCCACGACAGCACTCTACTCCTGGCTCACTCTAGACAATAATTTGTTTTTGTTTCCAAAGGTTTTATTTTATTTTTTTTAAGATTTTATTTATGTATTTGATAGAGACACAGCAAGAGAGGGAACACAAGCAGGGGGAGTGGGAGAGGGAGAAGCAGGCTTCCCGCGGAGCAGAAGGCCCCACAGAGGGCTCGATCCCAGAACCCTGGGATCAGGACCTGAGCCGAAGGCAGACGCCCAACGACAGCCACCCAGGCACCCCACAAAAGTTTTATTTTTAAGTAATCTCTACAAGCAACATCAAGTTCAAACTCACCACCCCAAGATTAAGAGTTGCCTGCACCACTGACTGAGCCAGCCAGGTGCCCCTAGACAGTAATTTGTAAACTATTTCAGCACTCTAAGAAAAGGTGATTAAAAGAAACTCAGCCCTCTCTATACAGCCTGTCCATGACTTGAAAGCATAGATGTCTCTTTATTATTTTAACCTCAAAGTTAAACCTTCTGTGTTTAACTAACCATTTGCTAAGGGTATCACCCTTTTAATCCAGCATGATAATTCAGAGGATTAGGAATGTTTAGCACACTTATCCTTGGGGGCGGGGGGGAATAACCCCTAAGTACTTTTAGAGGTGCTAGAAATATATACCTCAAAATTAGATCCAGTTGCCCATCAAAACAGTTAAAATATGACATAACCAAATGGTTCTTCAAACCAACACACTGCTGAGAGGAGGAATCCATTTCTATAGGCCACTACTCAAAAAATGTACATCATGGGATGCCTGGGTGGCTCAAGTCATGATCCCAGACTCCTGGGATGGAGTCTGGCATCTGGCTCCTTGCTCAGCGGAGAGCCTGCTTCTCCCTCTGCTGCTGCTCCCCCGCTTGTGCTCGCTCTCTCTCAAATAAATAAATAAAATCTAAAAAAAAAAAAAAATGTACATCATTCACTGAAAAGCCAACCTTCTAGTCACCACTTAATGAATCGAGAATTAAGGACACAAAGGTTCCTTATGGGCTAGCTGTGGTTAAGTTCAACCAATCTTCCTACTACATAGGTAACACAGTCTTGGAAGCCCAAAATTAGAGTTCCTCCCAAAAACCTGACCAATCTTTATTAAATACACTAAGGCCCAATCCAACCCTCAGCAAGTAAGTCACTTTAATTTGCAATTTGCTTACAGAACCAAGAGGAGATTTTGCATTGTGAGAAATAACAACACAGAAAGTAACAGACTTGAATGCCGGGCATAATTAGCAACAATTTAATGACATTACACTCTAGTGGCCTATTCCCCCAGGACCTCACAAAAGAAAAAAGGCCCTTCACAAAATCAGATTTTAATGTTTAGGTCGGACCCTCAGACAGCGAACTTCACCTGCCGAATTCCCCATACGACACCCAGCTATGAAGCTGTCCGAAAAAAGGGGGAATAACCAATTTAAACCTGCTTCGTGGTAGTCTGGGGAGAGAGCAGAGCAGAAAGCCTGCAATGCCGTGGGGAAGGTGAAGCCCTGAATCATAAAAGCAAGCAAAAAAGCGAGCACACCAAGTCGAGTTAAGAAAGAGGAACTCTGGGGCGGAAAGCAAACCGCGGTAAGGCCGGGTCAGCGCATGACCCGGAAGTCCTCTGTCGGAGCGCGTCCTCCATCCTTCTCCGCCCTGGCCACGCCCACCAGCGCGGGGGAGCCCGCACGCCGCCGGCGCAGGTTCCCTCCGCGCGGGCATGCGCACGCCGCCGTCCTCGTCGTTGTAAACGCGGCCGTTCCGGCTGGCCCTGGGGGCGGGGCCGTAGGGGAAAGTGCCAAATCCACTGAGGTAAGTGGCCGAGGGCTCAGGGACTCCCGGGAGCTTAGTGGAAGGGAGTTGATCCCTGGAAACCTACCTGCAGGGACTAGTAAAATGGAGAAGATAAGAGGAGAAACTGGAGCCTGCTGCAGAGGGAGTGTAAGGAAATTTCCTCAGGCCGCGCCGAAGAGGGTGCGCATGCGGGTCGAGGGCTGGAGCCTGCGCAGTACGGTGGCGCCAGGCGTCGCCCCCTTGGGTCCAAGCGGGGAAAGGGGAGGAAGTGTACCTTGGAGTTAGTTTGGAAACCTCTGGCGTTCTTCCCCTCTCCTTTCCAGCCCCTTTCTAGCCACCCCACCTGGTTTTAGCTGCCGCTTCCGTTTGGGTGGTAGTCCAGCTGTTTAACTGCAACGATTTGTTGATGATAGAATTAAATGATTGCTTGTAATTGCCATTACACCAGGGTACTTCCTTCAGTGTCTTTTTCATAAGGAGACTTCTAAAGGGAGGATTCTTTTTAAGAAAATAGGCATATATCCGGTAAGAAGTAGTGTTTATGAATACAAGGTCATCCCTGTCGTACATGAAGGAAATGTTTTTCATCCTGTCACTGTGGAGACAGCCATGCTGTGTCCCCCAAAGTAGCATTGCTTTCCTGTGGGGATCTCAACTGCCAATAGACTCGGCTTCCCTTAGAGGCCCAAACCCCAGACTACTTCACCATGAATATGTATTCATTAAGCAGCCTAGTGTGTGAGAGAGTTGTGTTAATACTGTAAATCTGCAGAATGAGGAAGGAAAAAAAACAATAATGGACCAATCCTCATGACACCCCGCTTCTCTGTCCCACGCATATAACCTTTGCTGAGCCACTAGCCCTGTGTTCTATCATTTGTTCCGCATTCATTCAGAAAACGTTCTAATCCAGGTTCTGTGCTAGGCCCCAAGGGTAGAAAGACAACTTGTTCCCCCTTTCCTAGATCAAAGAATTCTTCCTAAACTCGTGAACCTGAAAATGAATGTGACAAGTGCATTAATGGAGGGCATCTTCCCTCTTCCTGAGCAGATCCTTTTCCCTCTAGGAGCTTGCTGATTCTGTCAAATGGAGAGAATTAAAACTTTTCCCATGAGTGTGTTGGGACATACTATTGATGAAAAACTGGGATCTGCGTAGGGGAAAAAAAAGATTGAGGAGTAAATATCCATTACTAATTTTGGATAGCTGATATTGTTTACTATGCCTGTAACTATTCTAAATGCTTTAGTTATATTAACCTTTGTGATACCTTTATGAGGTAGATACTATTATTATCCCCATTTTAGAGATGAGGCAACAGAGGAACAGAGAGGTTAAGTAATTTGTCCAGAGTCATACAGCAAGCTAAATAGCAAGACCAGGACATCAACCCAGACCAATAAACTTCAGAATCTGAACTTTAACCACTATGCTGCTTTACCTCTCACATGGCACATGATATGCCCATAAAACCATTGCTTGAAGAATGTCACAAGCATGTATGCTAACGTTTCTATAGCTCAGTTTTGTTTGGTCATCTATAACATGAGGGATTGGATTAGATGACCTTTAAGGAATTTTGTAGCAAACATTTATTTAAATCAACAACTATTTAGTATAGGTCAAGCATTATGTTTGGTTCTCATGATCAGAGTGCCTGCCTTCATAAAGCGGTGTTTATTGTTAGTTTCACTTTACCTCCTGTTACCATCTGCTGATAGCATGCAAAATTCAACCTAAATCTTTAAAGCTAGAAATTACTGAAGTGTATTATTCTACCTCAGCAGTAAACTGCTTATTTATGTAAAAGTAGCTTTGTGCTAATTATGCACACTCCAGTTTCCAACCCTGGCTGTTTTGTGTATTAAATGATAGTAGTTCTGAGTTTGAAAGAAAATGGGATGAAAGGGAATTCCTTTGATTATACCCAGTTTAGAAGTCACACTGTATCTAGCCTTTGAAGCTGTCCTCACTCTGGCAGTCCCTAGGGAGCTCCGCTGAGCAACTGATTTCAAAATATAAAAGTATGCCTTGCATTTGCAACTGAATAGAGCATTTATCAAGGTGTAGGAAAAAGATTAGAGTTTAAAGTCTTAGGTGAGATATATAAACAGTTCACAGTATGTTCTGCTCTGAACTAATGGGAAATAAGACTGAGTACCTGTCCAAAAGATGGCTAAATCATCTGTATACTTTGAATCCCAACAAGAATCCACTTAGAAATTTAGACCAGGTCCATTACTGCTTAAGTTCTGTTTAAAAGAGCATTTAGGAACCTGTCAAGGTATATTTTAAGCTAGTGTTGCCCAGAGGATTGGCTATAAATCTGCCTTGAAAAGTTGTCTCTATGAATATGAATACAATTTGGAAGTTATAGAGCTCAGAAAAAAAGAAAAGGTGATCTAATAGCAAGATTGACAGTGTCCTTAATCAATTTCTATTTTTAAATAGGCTGAAATTCTAATTATAGCAGTTGCCTTACTGTTCCCATATCCCACTTCAGTTTTAATCATATTACTTATGGACATATAATGAAATCGGAAACTAAACTCCACTTCCCCGACAGGCTTAAATCATCATCACAAAATTAAGGAAACAGAACAGCCGGCATTTCAGAAATACACAGTATATCATTTTTCTTGCTAGGAAACTGGATTATGTATATGTAGGATTTGTATCTGCATTGCATTCCCTCATTTTTTCTATTTTTTCAAAAATAAGTTCCAACTTTTGTAACAAATGTCTTTATTTTGCAACTAGCAAAAGGAGAAAAAAAATCAGCTAAAATTCTCGGTGGCCATTAAAGAGGGAAATTCATTTTTTAAATCCTTTTAAAGTCATTTTTTTCTTTTTCTTTTTTTTTTTTTTTAAAGATTTTATTTATTTGACAGAGAGAGCACAAGCAGAGGGAGAGAGAGGGAGAAACAGGCTCCCTGCTGAGCAAGGAGCCCGATGTGGGACTCGATCCCAGGACCCTGGGATCATGACGTGGGCCGAAGGCAGCCACTTAACTGACTGAGCCACCCAGGCGTCCCTCTTTTTTTTTTTTTAATTGAGCTAAAATTCACATAACATAAAATTAACTATTAGCCATCTTAAAGCATACAATTCGATATAAAGTCATCTTTTAGTCTGAATATTAGAGCTGTACTATCCAGTACAGTAACCACTGGTCATATGTAGCTATTTCAATTTCAGTTAATATTAAATAAAATTTAAAATATAGTTCTTCAAGGGCACCTGGCCGGTTCAGTTGGTGGAGCATGCGACTCCTGATCTCGGGGTTGTGAGTTCAAGCCCCATATAGATGTAGAATTAAAAAATTCTATTTAATTAAAACACAGTTCTTCAGTCATACTAATAGCCACATGAGCTTAATGGCTACCATATTGGACAGCACAGAAATAGAATGTTAGAACATCTCCATCATGGCAGAAAGTTCTGTTAGCACAGTGCTAGACCATTCTTTTTATTTTTTTTTATTTTTTTTAAGATATTTATTTATTTATTTGTCAGAGAGAGGGAGAGAGAGCACAAGCAGGGGGAGCAGTAGAGGGAGAGGGAGAAGCAGGCTCCCCACTGAGCAAGAAGCCCGATGTGGGACTCAATCCCAGGACCCTGGGATCATGACCCGAGCCGAAGGCAGATGCTTAACGACTGAGCCAGCCAGGCGCCCCTAGACCATTCTTTTTGGAAAACATAAACGTCTTAGAATGTTATGTAAGTGTGTAATATAAGCTTCAGTGGCCAAGGTAGTATTTTTGTTTTGAACTTCTGTAAGGAATCGTGTATTCAGTACAGATCTTCTCATTTGCATTTGGGCTTTTTGATTTTTTGATATGACATAGGATTAAACACAGCTGCTATATTCGTAATAAACCATGAATTCGAAGATCATTTCATGAGCCATTTTCTTCTGGTTTGGAGGTGCCACCAAGTGATCAATTTGGGTATTACAGTTGGATGAAAAAGTTTTTAAAACATTTTTAATGAAAGGACAAATATGT